ATTTCATCAAAGATGTGTATTTTTCACATCTTGACATTTCCAAATAGGGTAAAAATCAATGTCCCATAGTTTAATTGGTAGCACTCATTTATTCTTAGTGGGTCATAAAATAATTGATAAAATACAGTGTAGACAAGGCAAGTACTAAGAGGCTTTAGAAAGAAGAGCCATTGGGAGAGAGGAATCTATTACAGCAGCTAGATCAGAAGTCCTGTTATGAAATGGTTATTTGGTCAGTGAGTAAACTAATAACAATAACAAAAACCATGGGAAAGCTTTTTAAACAGGCAGAATGCTAATTCCCAGCTCAGACCTCCCAAATCGCAGCACGTTTGGCAAGGTTGCATAGGGTGCGAAAACCAAGGTGGTGTCCCAAATTTACTATGGGCATTTAGCAAACTAGACTATTTGGAACATATAAAGTTAAAGAGAAATTTAGCTAATAAAAGGAACATGTGTGTGCACGCATGTGCGTATGTGTGGATTCCATATACCTAGTCACTTTAACAGCTAGAAAATTTTTTCAACCTAAACATGATGATTTTACCTGGAATTTAAGAATAAAGCAGGGGCTGGCATTGTGGCACAGGAGGTTAAAGCTACAGCCTGCAATGCCGGCATCCCATGTGGGCACTGGTTTGAGTCCTGGCTGCTCCACTTCTGATCCAGCTCCCTGCTAATCTGCCTGGCAAAGCAGCTGAGGATGGCTCTCTGGCTCCTGACTTCTGCCTGGCCCAGTCCTGGCCTTTGCAGCCATTTGGGGAGTGAACCAGAGAATGGAAGATCTCTCTCTCTCTTTCTCTCTCTCTCTCTCTCTGTAACTCTGCCTTTCAAATAAATAAAATAAATCTTAAAAAAAAAAAAAAGGAATAAAGCAGTAAAGCAGCAAGTGCAGCCAAGGCCCTTAGAGTGGCTTTATTTTGAATGACAAGAAGTGAAAGAGCTAACACTTGATTGTAGCGCTTCCCTAACTGTGCCAGGGGTCTTCAGAGGAATTTCTTAACTCCCTACTCTCCAACCTCTAGCACTGTGTATCTGAGAGACTAACTCAGCCCTCAAGCATTTCTTTTTATTTATGTGCTAATATATTGCTGTCCAATAGAGATATGTGTCATAGGTGTAATTTTAAATAACAAATAACCATACTGAAAAACCAGGAAAGTAGTTTTAATAATAAGTAATAATAACTTGAACATCATAATAGCCAAAATTTTATTCCAGTATACGCTCAGTTACCTTTGAAGTATTTTACTTTTTTCATACTGAATCTTTGAAATACAACAGATAGTTTACACTTACAGCACATCTCTCAGAATATTTAATCTTTCATGCACGGTAGATTTACATGACTCAGTTGTTCCAAACATGCTTGGGACTTCTCCAATAACTGAATGTTCTTTTTTCCTGTGCTCTGTTTTGAGTAGTTTTTTCAGGCCTACCTTCTAGTTCACTTTAAAATCTCTTCAGCTGTGTCTAATCTTAAATCCATTAATCTGTTTAATCCATTAAACTTCTTATTCCGATTACTCTTTTTTCTGAAAGGTCTATTTATACTTTTTTATTCTATTCATAGTGTCATTTTCTTATGGTTTCTATTTTAGTCTTTTATTTAAAGATTTTATTTATTTATTTGAAAGGCAGAGTTACAGAGAGGCAGAGAGAGAGAGAGAGAGAGAGAGAGAGAGAGAGGTCTTCATCTGCTGGTTCACTCCCCGAATGGCCACAACGTCTGGAGCTAAACTGATCCAAAGCCAGGAGCCAGGAGCTTCTTCCTACTCTCCCACATGGGTGCAGGGGCCCAAGGACATGGGCCATCTTCTACTCTTTCCCAGGCCACAGCAGAGAGCTGGATCGCAAGTGCTCCCATATGGGATGCCAGCACTGTAGTGGCTGGAGCTGCACCCATCAAGCCAGAAGCCAGGAGCTTCTTCAGGATCTCCCACATGGGTTCAGGGGCCCAAGCACTTGGGTCATCTTCCACTGCTTTTCCAGGCCATAGCAGAGAGCTGGATTGGAAGTGGACCAGCCAGGACTTGAACCGGTGCCGATATGGGATACCGGTATTGCAGGTGGCGGCTTTACCCGCTAAGTCACAGCGCCGGCCCCAGGAGTTTTTAATATGTCTAGAGCTTTCCCTGATTGGTTACTACATATGCTAGTAAGGTGAAAACCCATGAACCACTCAGGGAGCAGCTGCCAGCATCACCTTTTTGCATAGATAGGCTAACACAGTGAAATTTAAGCACTTCATGAGCCCCTCAGAGGTCAAAGCTGCAGTAATTCTTTCTGTGCAGTGAAGTTGCTCAAACAGGTCTGCAGTGCTGAGGGCCTTTGGCTGATGCCACCTCTGGCTGGTGATTCCAGTAACAGAGTTATTCTTCCTTGGGGCCCCTTGTCCCTCTCTACCTGCATGTGGGAACCTATCTTGTCTCCTGTCTCCATGACCACAACAGCAAGTCCTAGTGAAGTGGGACAGGCAGGAAGGCAGGAAACTAAACAGCTGGGAGGTTACTCACAGTTTATTTTCCTTTTTAATTTTTTTTTAAGGATTTACTTATTTATTTGAAAGGCAGAGTTAGAGAGAGGCAGAGAGAGAGAGACAGACAGACAGACAGGCAGAGAGGTCTTCCATCCTCTGGTTCACTCCCTAACTGACCACAATAGCTGGCGCTCTGCTGATCTGAAGCCAGAAGCCAGGAACTTCATCCAGGTCTCCCACGTGGGTGCAGGGACCCAAGCACTTGGGCCATCTTCTATTGCTTTCCCAGGCCATAGCAGAGAGCTGGATTGGAAGTGGAGCAGCTGGATATCGAACCAGTGCCCATATGGGATGCCGGCACTGCAGCCTGTGACTTTACCTGCTATGCCACAACGCTGACCTCACCTGCAGTGTTTGTCTGTAGCCTGCTTGCATGCCAGTTCAGCACACCCACTTTCCCATGATGCACCTGAGCCACCTCCATGATGACGGCAATCCAATGAGCACATACACACTGAGCTCCATATACAGACACATGAATCTCCGAAAGGACATGCACACTGAACCCTCCCAAACTCCACCCCATTAGTATACTCAATCAAGACATCACCCCCACCTGCTGAGCTGGGGGGCCCACTCTTGCATTCTCTTTCCTCACAGGCACAATCTCGTCATGGCACATCTCTCTCCGGGTGAGGCTCCTCGCACTCACGTCTAAAGGAATACTCACTCTCTCAATAAATACTGCTCCTTTTCTTGCACTTTATCTATGTCTCTGCTATGAGTTTTTATGACACAGAGGCAAGGACTTGGAACACATCAGCCGGGGAACCCATTCCCACAACCTTAGGGCTACTGCGGAGTGGATGCCTGCTCTACCCCTCACTCGGCTTCCCCTGGGCTTTATGTATCTGAAGATTTTTCTTTCTTGGACATTTTCATCATACACACACACACACACACACACATGCTCACACACACACACATGTATACATATGGAAGAGTTTTTTTAGAATTATACTTAGTATATTGTCATGTTGTTAAGACAGTCTAAAAATGTAGAAGCATAAGCTAATACAATCTATGAAAGCTACATTCTGTGAGTTTAAGGGTGTGATCCAATAAGGTACTTAATCCTGAGAGCACTTCACTTGGGCTCAGAGAACCATGATAATGGATTCACCTTTTGCTGGGCTTTTTCCTCTGCATAAGTACATCATTTGGCTTCTTCTGAATTTACCCTAAGACTTCCTCTTATAGCCCTTAGTCTGCTCAGGCTGCTGGATAAATTATACCCCATTGAAATACATTGCTTACTGTTCATGCCCACGGCACGAGCAGAGTGTCTGATGAGGGTGTGTTCTCTGCTTCAAAGATGACACTCCTTGCTGTGTCTTCAAACATGCAAGGTAGAAACATGTGGCCTTGGGCTTCTTTTCTAAAGATTCTATTCCCACCCATGAGGGCTCCACCTTCGTGACCTTGTCTCCTCCCATAGCCTCCCCACCCTCCATCCCCCACCTCCACCTCCTGACACCAATACAAGGGGCATTGGATTGCAGCGTAGGAATTCTGGAAGGACACAAACATTCAGACTATGGCCACGCAAACCAAGCAATTATCCTACCATTGTCTAAGCCTCATCACGAAAGTCAAGAGGCTCTGAAGGTAGGAGATGCTTTAGAAATTCACCATTCTAACCTAAAATAAGGAAAACAGGCCAAGAAAGGTGATGGGTTGCTTGATACAGACAGCTTTTCAGCAGCACCATGGGGATGTCCTAGTCCTCGCATCCGATTATCCTCCCTCTAGTAATGCCACTTAAGCACGTGTTTGAAAATATCAGATTTGCGTCATCGTCTCTGTGCCTTTCAGCGTGCTACCTCTGAATGGGGCGGTTTAAAAGAAACAACTATTTAAATAGTGTAGGTTTCATCCTTGGGTAAAACAAAACCCAAACTTGAAGACATTCCCACGGCCCCTTCCACTCCAGTTGAACCCCATCACTTTTTCTGTGCCTGCAAATTACCTTGGCTTACATTTCAGTGTTATGGATATAAGGCCTCTTCCTTCCTAGTTTTCCCTTTTTCAACAACTTTAATACTCATTTTGATGTATAAGAACAATGCAACAAATCATTTTTGTAAAAATGCCAGCCCTAAGCCTTGGTAGAAATAGCCTCATATCACCATACCTTCCTTCCCTTATAAACTGAAGAATGTTCTCTACACTATCCCGATGTTACAGGCTGAGTCGAATTGAGAGCTAGTACAAGGAACAGACGACAACGAATGAGAAGGGAACACTGAGATTTAATGTCCTAGTACTTAAATATCTTCTAATATTAATGGGGATTTCAGTTTGGCTATCGCACAGCTCTCAAGTCCCCAAAGTCAACAGCTCTCCAGGTTAGCAGCCTTTATTCAGGACAGGGACTACCACATACAGTGCAATAAGTAGGTCAAAAATAGAACAAATTAGTTCCAAATTAAGTTAGCAAAACAACAAGCAGTAGTCCATCTAAATTCCAAAGGTATTTTAATGCCAGGAAAGAAAACTTCAGTAACAAATGATGATGAAACAATTTTACATAAAAAATAGCTTTTAAACTTTTATATTCAACAAATATTGATTGAGCACCTTTCACCTAGCAGGTTCCATGCTAAGCACTGTGGCTGCAGACAGGGCCCTTACCCTCAGGGAGCTTCCAGTCTACTGGGAAAGACAGACATTGTACAGATACATTCAAAGACAGGGGATGTGAAGATAAAGAGCAGATGGTTTTGGGGGACACAGCAGGGGGCCTTAAACAGGGGTCCCTGAGAAAACAATGTTTGACCTGACCTTGAGAACTATTTTCTTGCATAGATACTAATAGCTTATTTGTATTGATACGCAAATATGGCTTCTCATTAATGTTATAGAACCCATTTGGACCTTTCTTTACTATATATTTTCATGTATTTCAAAACTTTCTTGCACCAAAATAAACTTATCCTCACTGTCCATTTTCCAAAAACTTTTAAAAGTGCCCTGCATAGCCTCACCTAGGTGATATTCAGAATCTCCAACAACAAGTGAGGCAGAGGATGGACCCCTTAGTGCAGACGCTGGCCCCGGCCATGCTGTGCACTCACTGGAGTCCACCACTTGAGGGGAGGTTGAGTGTTCTTTGGAGGGGCCACGGTAGAAGCAAGCCCCTGGGGAACTCAAGACCACCGCCATTTGCCAACAAGCACTATGTCTCTACTGGTACCTTGTTTTAGTCCAAGTAGATTCAAGGTGTTATGGGATATGTTTTTATTTAATTGATAAAAGATATTTATGGTGTACAGCATGGTAATTTGATACTTGTATGTGTTGAAGAATGACTAAAGCTAGTTAGTATAGCCATTACCTCAGACACTTGTCAGTTCATTTGTGGTGAGAACACTTCAAGTCGACGCTCAGCAACTTCCAAGCACTCAATCCTCTGCTGTTAACTGTCCTCACTACGCTCCACAGTGGGTCTCTCCTGGTCCACACTGATAAGACGGCACTCCTGTGCAACCTGGCTTCTCCATGGAAACAGCCAAGGTCAAGGTCAGAATTCTTTATTTTTTATTTATTTATTTATTTATTTTTGTTTTGTTTTTAAAAAAATTTATTTTTTAATTTTGATTTTCAATTAGTTATAAGCAGTCAATGCAACATGTAGATACAATTCTATGAACATAGTGATATTGCCTTCCTCCCTCCCTCCCTTTCCCTCTCTCTCTTGCTCCAAAATCTCTGAAATATCCCAAGAAATCCTAAAGAACACTAGCCTTTGACCATTAGTTCTGATGTTCCCTGTCTTCATGATGCAGTTTATTTTATTTCTTTGAAAGGTAGAGTTGCAGAAAGAGAGAGAGGGAGAGATGGGGAGAGAAAGAGATCTCCCATCTACTGGTTCACTCCCCAGATGGGTGCAAGGCTGGTGCTGGGCCAGGCATTTTTAAAGTATTGTTTTTTATTTGACAGAGTTAGACAGTGAGAGAGAGACAGAGAGAAAGGTCCTCCTTCCGTTGGTTCACTCTCCAAATGGCCACCACGGCCGGCATTGCACCGATCCGAAGCCAGGAGCCAGGTGCTTCTCCCGGTCTCCCATGCGGGTGCAGGGGCCCAAGCACTTGGGCCATCCTCCACTGCCTTCCCGGGCCACAGCAGAGAGCTGGACTGGAAGAGGAGCAACCGTGACTTGAACCCAGTGCCCATTTGGGATGCTGGCGCTGCAGGCGGAGGATTAACGAAGTGAGCCATGGTGCCGGCCCCAAGCTCAGAATTCTAACTAGACTCTCCCCCAACTACCCCAAATCCAGTATTATTTCAGTCAATCTTACAAAAATCAATGACTAAGAAAAAGTAAAAATTTTTATGTAAGAATATGAAGTTGCTGGTTTTAGAATACATTCATTTTGAACTGTTGAGAATAAGCATTTTACCATATAGTTCTAAACACAAAGTATGACAGCATGCTTGGTTTACTTTTCTTATGGACAGAAAGAGAATCATCCAAAGATTTCAAAAATCCCTACATTTAGGCAGTTTTAGGAATGTACTGAATCTTGGGTTATGATTTTATCTAAGTATAAAGTTCAAAGTACAGAAAAAGGTGACATTTTAGCATAAGATTAAATTTATATTGAATTTACAAAGTACCAACAATTGACTAGTACAAAAAAATTACGTTATTGCTTAAAAACCAAACATAAATTTATCTCCATCCAGAAAGAACAACTGTATTAATTGAACTTTGAAGTACTGTGAAATTCTCAAGAAGAATACTCTGTTTAAATATGGCCTTCATTTTTAAACCAGCAAAATATGCCGAGCCTGGCTTCCATTAATTTAACCTTTACTGAATGTAAACATGTAGTACTTAGGAAACGCAAAGCTTACACCGTATTTACTAAAAGATCTTATGGACGAGGCAGACATGCTTCTATATATAACCAACTTGGACAAAACATCCGTGAAGTCGCGAATTTACTTTTGTTCTACCTTGATGTAAATATTAGTGGCCTTCCAGTCAATTCTTACAGAAGTCTGCTCACTTTTCCCTGATCCCTTCATCTGGACATGTCAAACACAAGTCTTCATGTGGTAACCTATTTTAAGGGCATCATATACTACTCTTCAAAAAAACAAAGAGCATTATTTTTCTTTGACTTAAACTTCGACTTGTGACAGAGGGAGTACTAATTGGCAACTTCTGCATCTCTTACATCCGCATTTGTATTTCGACTAAAAAGAGCACTTTTGTAGATCACGTGATAAGAGCATCATTAAATGTTTTCAGAGTCATTTATGAACATGAGTTAACTAGGGAGGTGTGTTTCACAAATATTCCCAGCTTAGCTTATTTATCTACAGATCAAGGAAGGCCTAGTTTAAAGCAAAGGAGAGTCACACTACAATTTCAAGTGACTGTATCCTTTCTAAAAACCAGGAGGAAAGTGCCAAGTATTAGGATGAGCCAGAGTAAGACTCCCTTCTGGGCCTCACAAGAGCTTTCCTGGCAGCCTTAATTATGCTGCCAGGGAGGTTTTCCAGTCCCCATACGTCTTCAGTAAGTCTCCATTTGGCAGACATACAGGGAGTCTTCAAAAAGTACATGGAAAATGTGTATTACGAAAAAAAAAAGTCTGCATGGATTTCAAAAATTTTTGCAGCAAAATATACTGATCTTTTAATTGTATTTCTCTAAAGACTTTTTGAAATACCCTCATGTTTTAATTAACTACATGGTTCCATTTTAAGCAAACCTGTATGCTATAAAATTTTCCCAACTCTAACAGATTTGCAGGTCTGGTTCAACTATATTTGTATTTTTTTCCCTCCTTTTGCTAAGTGGGACCAAAATATGTCCTTCCATCAACGTAGCCTACTGGTGAAGGTTATGGAGGCCATGTTTGGAAGGTCTGAAAGAGGAAAGGAAAGTATAGATTCCTGTTCCACTGTCTACTAGGCTGAGTAATGTAGGTAAGCTATTTAACTTCTCAGACTTTCTCTAGCCATACAATAGGAGAAAATATACTTCTTCTTAGGTTAGTAGAAAAATTAGGAGTGATCCATGCTAAGTGCCAGGCATGTAGTCAGCGCTTAGACAGAGTAGCTTTGCTTTTGTTTGTTACTTTGGTGTGGTGATGGTGGTGACGGTTTTTGTTTTGCCCACTCTTCATAAGCAAGCACCGGTGCTGCGTAGCATGGCCACCTTCTCATGGCGCCCGGCAGGACATCTCCACAGTGGGTGACTTTGCCCCCTCGGGGACATCTGGCCCTGTTTGGATGACACAAGGGGGGGAGGTTCTCTTGCCATCCAGCAGGGTGGGGGTGGGGAGGGGGCAAGGGATGCTTCTAAACACCCTCCAAGGCACAGAACAGCTTCGCACCCCCAACAAAGAATAATCTAGCCCAAAAGGCAACTGTGCTGTGATTAAGAGACCCCGGCCTGCATGATAAGCATAATAAATTCTAGAGGCAAGGAAGCCATAGCAACCATTGGAATATTCACCAGAAACTTCAGATTGTCCCTGAAGTAAATGAAGGACGGTTTTAGAACAGGCTGCCTGGTAGGCGGGTGTGGGTGGGAGTGCGTGCGGGTTTTTTCACCAGTACATCCACTCTTGCTTCGGATATAGGTAGCACGATGAAGTCGACGCTCTACACCACCAATCTGGAATGTGTGGTTGCCTCGCCCCACACAAAGGGGACTTTCCGTAGCACCATCCCTCTTCAGTCTCAGGAGTTAGAGATCTTGTTGTGGTTGTGTGTGCGTATCTCAACGCCGATCCATCGGATTGGACACGGAGGGTTAGCACACTCTTCATACTTCAATGTGTATATTTCAGCATATGAAATTTTTATGAAAAAAACCTGTGATATAATCCAAAGTTAGCTTTGCTTTGGAGATGACACCACACAGCCTGAATGTATGAACCACTTTAACGTTTGCATGTCTCCGTCCATGCATTTGAAATACCTCTGGGTTGAAGCGATTCCACTGTCATCATCAGTCAAGTTCAAGCTGGTCCTCTCAGCTCCACAACCTTCATTCGAGTACTGTGGGTTTTAAAATAAAAACCTCACCTGGATTTCTAAAAGTCATCACAACTAACTCAGAAAGTCTTGTTCTCTTGAACTCAAGTTAGAGAGATCATCTTATTGTAATACATTTTGGTTTCTCACTTGATAAATGACATTTTCAAATCACTGAAAGAAGCAAAAAGCCAACCTGGGGAACATCTGAGGGTAGAAGGAAGTTTAAAATAAAAATGGGAGAAGAAAAAAATTTACTAATGATCAGTATTCTGTACCCTCCAAACATTTTTGGAAGCAACAGCATACATACAATTTTTACATTCTGTGTAAACATCAAAAAATATACTAAATTGGCAAAGCAATAATTCAGTTATTTTTAAACTATTTAAGTAAGTTATCCAAAATGGGATTTTTGAAAATCATTCAGTGGAGTAAGTTTCTTTTCCTATAAATAGAAATTATTGGAGCTACAAATTCCACTTAACAACAATACATATAGATACTTAAAAAACATTCACAGAAAATGAAATTAAAAGATATGTATTTTGGTGGGAAAAACTTTTGAAATCCATACTGATGAGTAGGTCTTTTAAAAGTTCATGAAAATTATGAAATATCTATGCATGGATTTCAAAATTGTTTACAGCAAAATAAACATTTTAATTTCATTTTCCATGAACTTGCATATGGAAAGGACTGCCACTACTGACTACTGTGTAACCATCCGAGGAAAAAGGCACCACAGGCACGATGGCCTCAGGCCATATGTCACATGTGATGCCTACTGACAGTACCGGAAAATGCACTTGGGCTAAGGTATTAGAAAACCGTTGACAGCGCGGCCCACGTGCCTGGTTGGGAGCTGATGTTTGGAGGCTGAAGTGCTAGCAGTGAAGACTCGCACTTTCTGCTGTGTGCTCCGCTTCACAAAGGTAGGGATCCAAGGCTGAGTCAGGAAAGAACCGGGAGTTGAAGCTCTTGATAGTCTGGGCTTTGAAACTCAGTAACAGAATGCGATGTGTCCGAGGCCCCGGAAGCCAGAACCCGTGGCTGTTACAACACCGCTGCATGGCCCCACAAAGGGCTGAGGAGGAATGACAAAGTGAGCTGGCAAAACCCGGAGAGAGGTGACTCCGCATCCAAAGAAAGGCTCTGTTTTAAACAGGAGATCACGAACTTGGGAATGTCATCAACCCAGGACGAAGGGAAAATATATCATTTCATTGTAAGGTGGGTGAATTCACGGATTATAGACATATAATAAAGTTTAGGGAAAACTGGGATGCATGGGGGAGTACTTTCCAAGTCACAGTGGAGGAGGACAAGTTTGTCCTCTGTCAGAGCAAAAGGCCTGGGTCTGGACAAATGGTGGTGGTTGCGTGGTGGAGTGGCGAGCGTAGTTGGTTGTTCATCCCTTGAAGTATCGACTGTGCCTTTGCACATCAAGCTCCAGGCCCCCCTGCACCGCAGAGACAATGACACAGTCTCTGCTGGGGCAGGTAAGGAAGCTGCGTGCTCAAACCCTCGGAGGGAGCCATGGACGACTCCACTCTGGAAATACTTCCTTCCTTGTACTCCTCATGAGGTCCTGCATCCTATTTCCACCTTGTATTCACCCAGCTCAGAGTATAACAGCTACTTGCATTGAAGAGATCTTTCTTTAGGAATAGCTGAGGTTTAGATAAATCTTTGTAACTGTGAAAAAGCCTGAAATCCTTTAGTTCTAATTCTTTGAGGAGGCTGTACCAGAATCTGACGACACTGCTGTCACTGCCACTGACCTCGAACCCGGGCCAGTGCAGATGGATCTCAAAGATGAGCTGTCCAATCTGTTCAAGCACATTTTCCAGAATGAGATTTTCCAAAACTTTCCATTCGGCACTCTCCAGATCTGCCTTGAGAACATCAATCTGAAACAAAGCAATGAAATGAGATTAGTAGCTTTGACAAATCACTGTTAAAAATACCATCTTGAAATCTGCAGTGGCACACTGTCACTGCCCCACAAGGAAGCACAATTTGTAAAATTTTAGTGTTGGAGGTCATTTGCAAGTGGCCAATTCTGACGTGAATTTCTAATCTCGTTCCATTCCAAATGTTACGTATGCAAATTGTGAAATGCCAGGCGGAAATGCTAACAGACACTTGCTTTCTGCCAGTGGGAATGGATGTCCGAGGAGGAGACACTGTGGCAGGTATGTCACGGAGCCCGCAGCCTCTCCCCACGATCTGTCTGCCACTCCAAGGGGCCCAGCCCAGTCCTAGCAGCACGGCGGCTACAGAGATGGACTCACAGAGGGCCACTGCCCACAGGGGCTGCCTCTCAAGCCTCAACCCTCGCCAAATGCATCAGGACTAGAAGCCAAAGGAAGAGTTCTCGGGCATCTGAAACTGGACTTGAGAAAAAATTATTATTCTGTGATTTCTTTTAAAAAGAAAAAAGCAACACCATCTGCTCATTTAATGAATACTAGGAGTCTTCAAAAAAGTTCATGGGGGCCAGCGCTGTGGCATGGCGGGTAAAGCCTCCACCTGCGGCACTAGCATCCAATATGAGCACCAGTTTGAGTCTCAGCTGCTCCTCTTCCGATCCAGCTCTCTGCTATGGCCTGGGAAAGCAATAGAAGATGGCCCAAGTCCTTGGACCCCTGCACCTGCATGGGAGACCCAGAAAAAGTTTTTGGCTCCTGGCTTCAGATCGGCTCAGATAGCCATTGTGGCCATGTGGGGAGTGAACCAGTGGATGGAAGACCTTTCTCTCTCTGCCTTTGCCTCTCTGTGACTCTGCCTTCAAACAAATAAATAATTTTTTTTAAAAAAAGTTCATGAAAAATGCATACGATGAAGAAAGTATGCATGGATTTTTAGACATTTTTGCATCAAAATAAGCTTATCTTTTTGTTCCACTTTCCACGTACTTTATGAATTCCCTTTGTACAGGTTCACATCCTAGGTGTGATGGAATAAAGGAAGAAGAATTGGAAGGGAGAGAAATAATTTGCAATTAAGTTACGAAAATCAGCCCCCCTGTTTTTTCTGGTTTTACACAAAATCCACTAGAATAACAGAACTCTGCATACCTTCAGAAACCTATGAAAGCTAATCCTTCCCAGGGACTTGTATGCGCCTGACACTCTGCTAAGTGATTCCCTTTATAATATCCATTTAATCCTCTCAACAATTCTGCGAGGGTGATTATGGTAGTCTCCCTTAATTAATGTTTAAGGGAACCAGTAATCGCTCCCTTGTCACATAGCTGGAGGAGCAGTGGTGGAATCTAAGCACTGTGGGCAATGCCTGTGCTCTTAGCCACGACACCATGTGGCCTCCCCAGTCAACCACAAGAGGATGATGCTAACTCAGAGTCCCTAGGAGGTTTTGGGTTTGGGAAATCACATGCTCTCTGGCGAGTGGATATGAGTCAGTGAGCAGAGTACTGGGAGCGACACCTTTGCAGAGCACTTTTCTTTTTTTTATTTGACAGATAGAGTGAGACAGTGAGAGAGACAGAGAGAAAGGTCTTCCTTCTGTTGGTTCACCCCCCAAATGGCCGCTACGGCTGGCGCTGCGCCAATCCGAAGCCAGGAGCCAGGTGCCTCTCCTGCTCTCCCATGTGGGTGCAGGGCCCAAGCACTTGCCCTCCCAAGGCCACAGCAGAGAGCTGGACTGGAAGAGGAGCAAGTGGGACTAGAACCTGGCGCCCATATGGGATGCCGGCACCGCAGGCGGAGGATTAACCAAGTGAACCACGGTGCCGGCCCCTGCAGGGCACTTTTCAAAAGGGCTAACTGTCCCGCACCGAGGGAAGCGGACAGCATTCAGACTGGCAGAACGGAAGTGAAGGGACTCCCAGCAAAGGACCCCCAGTTCTGGACCTAAGAGGTGACAGCAGGACCGTAAGCAGCCTGTCTGGAAGCTGCTGCCCGAACGTGAAAGCACCTCCACCTGTTCAGAGGCCTGGGGTAAACCCGAGAGGGTCCCGCCCAGCCTCTCCTTCTCGCGCTGCGTGCTTGTTTGACGCGTTTCTCGTGTGAGGCTGAAACCTGAAGTTCGCAGTATAATGGAAAGAGCCCGTATGTGATTTCAACATTGAGTAGACCAAAAGGCTCATGGAATTTACACTTAATTACTGCAAGAAAATGAGCTTTGCCCAAAGTCCTGAGGCCCGAGGGAGACAGATTCACTCACTTCCATGGTACCTCCAGCCCATCAAGAGAGGAGCTACATTAACAACTCCAAGAAGACCAAGAGGCTCTGGACAAGACTGGATATCTGTGGACCAGCTCGTTGATTCAGTAGTTTCTAAATCAAACTGAAAAAGTTAAACACACACATACACACTCACACACACACACACACTCACACTCACACACACACACACATCTTTCTTCATGAATCAGCTGAGCCACGGCAGGTTCCATGTGAACATACACCAGGCTAAAGTCGTTCTTTTGAATCAGACACGATGTAACCAAGTCACTATTTCTTTCCATCTCAGTGGCACTGGCAATTGCAAGGCTTTATTTAATCTTGGCAGTTGTAGGCAGAATATTCCTGGATTAAGGGTAATTAAGCTGCCAAAAGAAATATTTAATTGAAACCTAATAGAATGTTCTAAACGGTACAAAAAATATCCAAAACTCAAGAATCAGCATTTGCTGAATCAATTCACGTAGCAAAGAATTTCTTAGGTTCCATCCAGATTTGTTTCCACCATGGTTCATGGGTTTTCCTGTTGAGTGTGACGAATAAATCAAAGAATCAGAAGGACAGGGTAAAGTTAATCAGTTTACAATTGACCTAAATACTATACTGGTGAAGTATTGGAGAATATATGTATTTTTCCAAACATATTTATAAACTGTCAGGAGTTATGATCAGAGTAGGAGCTGGCATTGTGGCATAGCAGGTAAAGCCATTGCCTGCAATGCCAGCATCCCAGATGGGTGCCAGTTCTAGTCCCAGCTGCTCCACTTCCAATCCAGCTCTCTGCTATGGCCTGGGAAAGCAGTGGAAGATGGCTCAAGTCCTTGGGCCCCTGCACCCACGTGGGAGACCCGGAAGAAGCTTCTGGCTCCTGGCTTTGGACTGGCCCAGTTCCAGCTGTTGCAGCCATTTGGGAAGTGAACCAGTGGATGGAAGATCTCTCTCTCTCCCTTCCCCTCCCTCCCTCTTTGCCTCTCTCTCTCTCTCTCTCTCTCTCCGCTTTTCAAATACATAAATATTTTTTTTTAAAAAAAAAGAAGTATAAGTAACTGGAAGAGGACTAAATTATTAGACTCAATCATAGCAAATATATTCTTTATGTAGAAATCCAACTTTAATTTACAAAACACCATCTATTCTAAAGAACAAAGTCTTCTAAACATGAAAACATCCCCATCCTCTTTTGAGTTCAGTGACTGGAAACTACTTGCCTTGGTCAGAATTTTACGATGATCTAGATAGATTGTGCAGCCCAAGGCTGAGGTGTCACTGCCTTCTGAGAGCAGAGAATAAAACATATTTTTCTTTTCCAGTGGGAATTTTTTATTTCTTGCTTTCCATAACTTCCCATTTCAAATATTTTACAAGTGTCATTTCCATTCCTAGTGTATAATGCATCCAATATTATTGTTCTTATAAAGCACTAATCATTTCTGAATAAGATATGTCACTTTTAAGGTGCTATTATCTGCTTTCTACAATTATGGTACTAAAAATCATGCAAATGATTATACTGGAATAATCAAGGGCCCATCCTGATACAGGTGGGTTTAGCCAGGTTTCTAGAGAAAAACAGCTAAGTGTTAATTCTCTGTAAACTTCAGAAAAAGTGAAAAATATTCTTGGGTGGAAGAGTCTCAAAGAAGGTAAATGAAACAGCCTATCTGGTCTATTTTTTTAATAGAAAAACCTTTATTTAATAAATATAAATTTCAAAAGTACAACTTTTGGATTATAGCGGTTCTTCCCCCCATAACCACCCTCCTACCCACAAACTCCCATCTCCTACTCCCTCTTCCATCCCATTCTTCATTAAGATTCATTTTTAATTATCTTTCTATACAGAAGATTAACTCTATACTAAGTAAAGATTTCAACAGTTTGCACCCACACAGACACACAAAGTATAAAGTACTGTTTGAAGATTGGTTTTACTGTTAATTCGCATAGTCCAACACATTAAGGACAGAGATCCTACATGGGGAGCAAGTGCACAGTGACTCCTGTTGTTGATTTAACAATTGACACTCAGTAGTAATCACTCGAGGATCTTGTCATGAGCTGCCAAGGCCATGGAAGCCTCGTGAGTTCACCAACTCCGATCTTATTTAGACAAGGCCATAGTCAAAGTGGAAGTTCGCTCCTCCCTTCAGAGAAAGTTACCTCCTTCTTTGATGGCCAGTTCTTTCCACTGGGGTCTCATTTACAGAGATCTTTCATGTAGGTCATTTTTTGCCACAGTGTCTTGGCTTTCCATGCCTGAGATACTCTCATGGGCTTTTTAGCCAGATCTGAATGCCTTAAGGGCTGATTCTGAGGTCTATCTGGTCTAATTTTAACCTTTCACAAAATTTTTGGAGAACTGGGTATTTTAATTTTCACTAGAGTAAGATGGGATGCCCTCTGGGCAGAAGCTCCTTATCATGGGCACAAGTTTATCCCTGTGGTCAGCCATCCAGGACTTCAGGACAGGAAGGAAGTGGAAGATGGGGCCAGGGCGTTGTGCCAGTCTGCTGGGGCTGCCCCAACAGCCTACCACTGACTGGGTGACTCAAATAACAGGAAAGTATCATCTCATAGTCATGGAGACCAAAAGCCCAAGATCAAGGGTCGGTAGGGTTGGCTCCCTCTCTCCCGCCTCTCTCTTAGCTTCCAGCGGCCACTGGCCATCTCTCCAGGCTGTGGCTCCCACAGCACCTGATCT